GGGAGCTCAAAGGTATTTACCTATATTTCCCTAATAAAACTGAACTGAACTGTATATTGCGGCGAAACAGGAAGATCAGTCTTTACACGCATCCACGAGCACCAACTCGCAATGAAGAGACGTGACCATTTGTCCGAAGTGGCTATGCATTGCCTTAACACAGGACACACCTTTGCATCGGATAAAACACGCATCGTCGGAGTTTGCCCCGGCGAAAATGGCTGAGAATTCCTTGAGGTCATACACTCCGACGATTCATCCATCAATCGCCACATGGAGTTAGATGGTATCTATAAACAACTCAAAGAAGGTTGGAAGAGACGAAGGCCGCACAACACAAGCTCACTGAGGCCACACCTACCAATCAGGTCTCACACCATATAACTATTGACTTTTTTCTGCATGTTTTAAATTTTAGTTGTTCCTTGCACGGTTCTTGTTTGTCCGAAGACAAGCTGGGGAACCAAACTCGAAACTTTATATCTTTATATCTCAAAGAATATCCTCTTCAAATTAAAATTTCTTGGAATGCATGTTTTCCAGTTCACACGAATGAACATGAAGTAAGTTGAGATTTGATTCCTTACATATCAGCAGTGTGAACAAAACCCGACAGAGTCTTACTGAAACTGAATACCGGAAACCCCAAAAAATCCAGAATTCGCTTACTAACCGTTTCCACACTTCAGCTTACTACACAAAATCTGCGCCTTTAGGTTACGCAGTGCTCATTTTTGTGGAAGTGCTAAAGTCTAAAAAGGGGTAAATCATCGGAGAAATGAATTGGTTGAAAGTAAACACCAATAGCAAAGACTCATCTAGGCGTTCAAAGAGTGGACTTTAAAGAAAAAAATTTCAAAATAATTGGCTAATGCCAAAAAAACAAGGCATAAACGCGCAGATTAAAACAAAAACTAAGTTCATACCTTGTGGGCGGTCGGTTTGCGATTTGCTTCAACCCTTGTATCCCCACCTCCTTCGAACACTTACCAAAAATCAACAACAAATATGTGGAAGATGGCTAAGGAATGTAGAGATATATTTAAACTTGGTGATGCCGAAATTCTCGCAGGAGGTGAC